TTTCTTTTTGAAATGTCACTGTAAGTAAATTTATCCTAAAGTGATATTTTTGTCAGATTACGAGTATAACTCTATATTTTCGGGAATACTTTAAAGTGATATTTTTGTCTGATTCCAATATTTTAATATTTGTATTTCGTCATATATAATTCCATTGATATTTTAAAAAACTTATTGTAAGCAGTGTTCGTTAATCAGATTTTGAAATATTGTCGGTGCTTTAGTACAAGTTTAGTGGATGTTAATTATCGTTTAGAGGAAGCGAGAACCGGTTTAGTTTGGTTTAAAATTCGGTTAAGGTTTCAACAAGTCTCCGAACAATCGGACTCAAAACAAACGGTGGATAAAACAGCCAAGTCAGCAATTTAGGTCAAAAAAAAAAAAAAAAGTTTAAGGGCAACAACATTTTGGCGCCATAACTTGTAATGTTTTTTGGAGGTTTCAGGAAGAAAATTAACCTACATTGGATGAATCTGAGCCAAAGAGACTGAAACAATTGAAGTCGAAGAAGAAGAACACAGACTCGAGCAAGCCTAAGCGTCCTCCTACTGCTTTCTTTCTTTTCCTGTAACATTTTTAGTAGCCTTACATTAACTCCATTTGTCTCACTTCTATTCCACAAAGACTTTGCTAATACGGTTTACAAATTCTGCAGGAGCGATTTTCGAAAAACTTTTTAAGGAAGAGAGTCCAGATTCTAATGGGAAGGAGGTAAAACCTTAATTATAGCTGAAACTCAGATTGTTTTGTGATTACCTTGTTAGTGTATTATGAAATTGGCAATGATGTAACTAGTCACTTGTATTGTAGGTAGGCAAAGCAGGGTGGTGAAAAGTGGAAGTCAATGACAGAGGAAGTGAACAAAGTATGCATTATATAATGAGTCTATTTGTCCTTTTTTGTTTCTAAGTGCATGTAACTTTCTCTTGTTTTTTGTGTATGGTTTGGTGACTTATTTAGGAGAGAGGTGCAGAGAAGGAACCTTATGAGATTGATGACAATGAAGGTGATGACAACAAAGAAGATGAAGAGGTTTTGGATGACTGTTAGAAACATTGTGATCTTCCTTAGGTTCTACTCTTAATCGCAATTGATTAAAGTTGTTAGTATCGTGATCACTGGTTGTGGTGGCTTGTAAAGTTTGAAAATCCGGTGTAATTAGTTCATGTGTTTGGTTAATGGATTGTTCAGTTTTATTAGTGAAGCTTGAGTTCTTTTTTTGGTCTTTTCTCTTTAGTAAGTAAAGAATCAGGTCTCTATATGAATAACCAAGTTACCTTGTTTGGGTGATTGATTCATTTGAATTGCAAGTATAAGATGCTTATTACTTAACACATATCATAGACTACTTTTTGTTTGGGAGCATTTGCGTATATTTAATGTAATCCAAAATTAAACTGAAATTTGTTTATAATTCAAAACAAGTTCATTATTTTTACGTCAAACAAACAATCCTCTAATGTTATAAAACATTGAATTACAGTATTGATTAGTATATGACTATTTATCACCGTATTTAAGATAGATTTTATCTACACCCGAATTATATTTGATTGCTTTTCATTCCCTTAAAACATAAATAACCATATTTAATAAAAAAAAAAAACAGAAGAATAGCTGGAATAAATGCAACCGAATAATCAAAAGTCCAGCTTTAGTCTCAAATAAAAGTATAAAGGTAACTAAAATGTCATGATTATTTTAAGCATAGATACGAACCATTGCGTTTACAAGAAGAGAAAAGGTAAACACATAAAGCAAATGGTCCAATACAAAGGATTAATATATAGACCGTGAAAGTACATTAGGAATTATAAAATCTTGGATATAATAAGTTATTTTTAAGGTTAAGATTCAAAAAAAAAAAAACTTGGAAACAGAGAAATGATCAGCCAATGTAGATGTGAATCTTGAGGGCGAGGAGGAAGACGCAAACAAGGGAGAAGTAGAGAAGAGAATGAACGATCACAGAGACAGCACTTGTCTGAAAATTACCAAACTCAACGTATCTTTGTCTTCCCGGCAACTGAAACAGAAGTCCCGGCGTCAGCATCACGAATAGTATCACCGTCACTAGCACCGGTCCCCAATCCGACATTCTTTTTTTTTATATATATATATATAATCTCTCTCTCTCTCTTGAATGTTGATGATAAAATGATGATGATGGTTGCTTAGAAGAATATGATCGTAGAGAAATGAGAGGAGTGATTTTATAGAGAGAGGGGTTAGTTAGTTGGAGGAATATGAAGAAGGTGGGTCGGAGAGTTGATTCATGAAGTTACTGTGGATTCTCCTTTTTTTTTGGGTGGTTTCTTGTGAATCAGG